TCAACACACAACCCTATCATAGTCCCAACACACGACACGTCGCATTCCCCCAAAATACACGGCATGTGTAAGTACCAAACACAACCTATTCCACCTCCAACACACTACCCACCTCATCCCCACCTTTCTCTGGAAATTCCAAGGGTAGGTAGGATGGATGGAGTTCTCAGTTTGGTGTAGGTACTCTTAATAGGGAATGGTGATGGGTTTTCGCGTGTGTCAGAGTGTCAGACAGGCGGCTGACCAAAAAAACCCCAAACATCCCCAATATCCAAACCATCTCTCAAAACACATCTACGCTCGTCTTTTCCAAATAAATTGCTCGTTTCATTAAAAAAAAACAAGGACTGAAATGATTGTCTAAAAATGATATCCCGGGAAAGGTGCTAATTACTTTCCAACGAATCACGTTCAATTGGGAAAAAAACAGACGACTGCAATAAAGTTCGGAGATGAGCGCAACTCGCCTACAAAATACTCAGTACAATACATTCACTGTACAATATATTCCGTGAGATGCTTTAAGACGTCTCGGAGACGTGATAAGGCAAGGCATAAGATAAGGCATATCAAATGCAAGGATATTAGTATTATTAATATTATTGTTATTATAATCACACATGGGAGAAAATTTCCCTACCGGATCGAGATTGATTCTATTTATGTGTAGTACTTTCAGAGCGTTTAGAATTGGGGCAAATTCTTAACTCGGTGTCTTAATTCGGCAGTAGATTTACTGTACGTCTCCTGTAAGAACGTACAGGAGAGGTGGAGGGTGTTATATGTCAATTCAAAGTTAAGAACGAATTCGACAATTTGACAATTCGACAATTCGACAGCTTTCGGACGCTCGGAAATGCCACATAAGAGGGCAGACCCAGAGTAAACCGGGTGGCATTTCTTCCTAGGAACTTGTAGCCGAAGGGAAGGGTGGTTGGTGGTGGGGTGGCACAATAAAATGTCAAATAAAATAGCAAGCCAAACAACAAAAAAAAAGCGTGAAACAGGATATAAATCGCACTGCTTCTGATACCAGATCAAGATTTGACTGGCAAAAAAAAATATCAGCTGTTGTATATGTGTGTGTGTGTGTGTGTTTGAGTGAGTGGACACTTCTGGAATAAAATGAAAACACTTTCCAAATCTTTTAGGCTGAAATAGTGACTATTTGTGGGTCACCTGTATGACTCGCATGTTCAGGCCCGTCTCCTGGGCCAACTGTTCCCTGATGTGTCGGGTGGGTTTCGGGGTAGCGGCAAAGGCGGCTTTCAAGGTTTCCAGCTGTTTGGCTTTAATGGTAGTTCTGGGACCCCTTCTTTTCGTGCCCGTGCTCTGTTCCTCCGCCTCGATATTCTGTGCCTCTTTGTCGGAAGAGGTGGAATTGTCTGTTTCCTTTGTATCGTCTCCGTTCTGGTCCTGGACGTCAGGCGATAGACTTCGATCTGTACACGAGGAGACTGCAAGAGAGAGGGAGAGAGAGGGAGACGACACACGTGTGTGTGTGTGTGTGTGTGTGTGTTTGTTCAACGGCCACCGGTCCCGGATTGGGAAAGGCTGACAAATTGGGAGCTCAACAACCTACTGCTGAATCGGTCCAGCGTGCAACAACAACAACAACAGCAGCAACAACAACAAGAAAGAGGGAGCGATTAGAAACCACAACATCAAATGAGAGAGTGAGAGAGGGAGAGAGAGAGAGAGAGAGAGAGATGCGCGTAATATTCTCGAAAAACAAAAGACTAGCGATTGTTTGTCCAAATCTCCAAATATTGGACACTCGCCCAAATGAAACAATTGTCACGCTTCTGGGCAAACACGTGCTTAAAAATGCTGTTATCATATTAGAGATGATGTGAGAAAAGCGCAGCTTCGCCTTTCATCACCAAACTGCTCCTTACTGTCATGTAGTATGTGCACATTTTTATTGTTACATGTAACATAATACACAAATCTCTCGCGATTCAATTTTGAAAATAAGATTGGAAATGTAATATATGTTTTCTATATATATATATATGTTAAGTCAGCTCGCAAAGGGGGAAATGGAACAAACAACATCAAGGTAGACTTGTGGAATTTCGGAAAAAAGAAAGAGATTGATATATATATATATATATGTATGTACAGATAAAGGAAACCGTGTTTATCGATTGTGAGGTGCATTTTTTAAAAATATACGTGCAAAACTTTAAGGTGCATCAATAATTCAAATGAAGAAAAATCACAGTCAGGAGGAACTTAAGGCGAATAAAACACCCTTGTTCTGAACATTTGCAACGGTTTCATCAAAAAAAACATGGGTTTGGAGAGCCAAGGCGCTGTGTACATTTAAGAAAGAGCAATCAACTGATATTTGAAGATGAATATGTCACGTAGGACAAGATCTAATATATATATATACACATCCATACCGTACAATAACAGTGTAATGACGGGAAAAAAATCCGAGAGACATTCCATAGAAATGGAGTGACACACACACCACCCACACAAATGACGTTATTAAGTCTTACCTGAATTCAGATTCCCGTCTTTAATGCTGGTGGTGCTCAAATAATCTTCTTTACACACGAATTTGTTTTCGTCGATGATGTAGAGTTCTTCCCCGGTTGAGAGTTGCTTGTTGCAAACCATACAGGTGAAGCAGTTCAAATGAAAGACTTTGCTCCTTGCTTTTCTGACCAGGTCGCTGGGGGAAATACCTTGACAGCAACCAGCGCATTTTGTACCAAACCTCCTGCAATAGAAAACGGTCGCCCTGTGATTATATATATATATATATGTATGTGTGTGTGTGTGGTGTGTATATATGTATATATATAATATATATACCTCCCCCGTCATTAAATAAGCCTTTATCATCTCATTGAGGAAATGGTGCAATTAGGACAGTCACGAGGACTTAATAATTATAAACAGGCCGATTGTGCAGGATATCTGTCTCTCATCAGAAGATAGGATAATATCCCAGTCACACACACACACACACACGCCAATGCATTTCTCCTATTACAGGCAGAACGAGTTTCAAGAAGACTCGAGTATTCTTGAGACTCATTTACATTTAAATTGTCTTCACTTGCACTGTTTAACGCTCGTGGTTTTTTTTTGGGGGGGTGGGGGTGTGGGGGTTAGAGCAAGCAAATAGAAAATGCACTCCGCCTGAATTCATAATACCTTTACTATTAAGCCTTATTTCGCTACTGTATGAACAAAATGACACTGGCAGCAAGTCGGTGAGAGATAACATGTCTTGAAATTATTTGGGGGGACATTGAGGCATCCGCCGGAGCCACAATAACTATGGCAGTTTTTTCAGGTTAGAGATAGACTAAAATCAATCACACAATAGGTTGAAAACAACAACAATGCAGCGTGTGTTGGTGTACACTCGAGAAGCGTTATTTGGAAGAATTATAAAGTCATTGATAGCTTATGTCAGACATTTTATTTTAGGAGAAAGTTTTCTTTTATTAAAAAAAATACAAGCGATATTTTCTAAGCGACTCTTATCTCTTGCTCAGAGCAAATATATAAAAAAATTCGGTGTGTGAAACAGAAAGAGCTATCAACTTCTAATATCCTGGATATCTCCATCTCTTTACTCCCTTACACAGCCGATGTATGTATATATATGTATATATACTATACATCGCTCTCCCTCTCTCTCTCTCCATATATATATAGCAATATTGACGTTGATTTAGTAAAAGAATTAAAGATCATAAGTCATTTTGGTCTTATCCGCGACGGGTAATTGGCTCGTTCTCAGCCGAACAAAAAAATCATTAAAATACGTTTAAAACTGTTGGCGACTGTTTGGAAGCATTTAATTGCTGGTGGGGTGGTGGTGGGGGGGGGAGGGAGTTTGCATGTGCAAAGGAGCCCAGGGAGAGAAAAAGTCGCATTCTTTCTATTGAAATGCATGCTGATTAAGGCCTGGTGTGAGCAGGTACTGTTTCTAAACACCTGCAGTTGCTTTTAAAATCCACATTTATGTATATATATATAATATATAATAACACACATGACAAATAACCTACAACGTGTATGTATCAGGTTATGCAGTTGTTAATTGCCACCTCGCCTGAAACTTGCTTTCACTTGCCATCATCTCTAAAGCCTATATTAAAAAAAGTTTGGAAACTTTTGACACGCACTATTACATTCGGAAACCTGTCTCTACATATCGCTTCCTCTCGCTCTTTACATCAACTTGAGCCGCTGGTATAAATGCCTCAGCCGCTGGCGTCTGTTTCTAGCAAAACGCGCACCAAACGTTGAGTTAGTGAATGAAACCCCAAGTAATGCTAATGGTGGGATGTTCGTTAAAAAGAACGCATGTCACATATCGCCGAATTGCATTGCTCAGTTGAAATATCACGATAGGATTTGCAATGTTTTACTGTAATCCCCTTTCTGGAGGCCTTTGTCACAGTCAAAGACTACAAGCCTTTGCATGCGATCCTTTGGTCCTGACCGCTTGCCATTTTTTTTTGTTGAATTAAAAACTTAAGTTGCAAGTAGTTGAGTGAGAAGTAGAGGTATTTTTTTGCAAATGTGCTGCGCGATAAGTAAATCCCAGGCACACGCAAAGCCCAGGACATTGTTTCCTGACGTTCTGGAGATTGAACCCTAAATGACAGGTACAATACAATTCTAACACCGAGAGTCACACGTTTAAACACCTTTCAGACTCACGCACAAAACTCACACTCGCACACACAGGAGATTGAGGTTTCGGCTCATGAAACCGAAAGCCTCGTCCGACTTACCTGAAGAAATCGTTTTTACAGTAAAGCTTCCCTTCTCTGGAGAAACATTTTTCGGTCAAGTTGCATTTGCACTCACAACATTGGACACACTTGATGTGCCAAGCTCTGTCCAGGACATTCAGCAGAAATCTATCCAAGATAGGCCTCTCACAACCAGCACAATGCACCATCGCGCTTTTATTCTCCCTGCAGGTTCCCCCCCCCCACAACCTCCCAAACTCTAACCCCCAAAACAAAATTGTTCAACTTCAAGTTATCGCAGGTATTTTGCACTTCAAAAATCCAGTGTCAAATCTTGGTCAAATTCGCAGCTTTGCCACACTCTTCTTGTGCCAACGCTGCACGCGTGGTGTGTGCGATTTCTCTGTCTGTCTGTCTGTCTGTCTGTCCCTCTCTCTCTCTTTCTCTGTCTGTTCTGTCTCTCTTTCTCTCTCTCTCTCTCTCTCTCTATCCGTCTGTCTGTCTGTCTGTCTCTCGCTCACTGTGAAGTTTGACGTTGCTGGAACCTTGAAAAAAATAATCCTCCTTTAACTTTCAGGTGTCTCTGCTTAGCATCTCGCCTTGCTTGTCGAAGCTACCATTTGCGCGTTCAAGCTCCAATTCATCCTATCTGGGCAGAAGGGGGGACCTTACTCGTTGCTCAATGCAGTTTCTCTCATGATCTTTGTGTACCAAGCTGTAATTCGCGCATCCTTATTCAGATTTGCTGACGATGGACGCCACGTATTGCTGGCGTTGCCCAATCCACAGGCGCTGCCATAGAAACCCTTAATTTATAGCATATCTAAATTGGCTGCTTGGCTGTGGTCACAGAGAGGGGGAAAAAAAATCCCATTTACCATTGTGGGGTCCAGGTTTACTTGGCTCTTAGTGTTTCACAATCAGAATTGGCACATGTTCCCCCCTTTTCTGATACTGAAGATTTTTTTTTCTTATTTATGTCCAATGGATGCTCTGTTTTTTTTTTGGTAAGTTACCATCTGGGTCGCTCGCCTTTTCCCTCTCCCTCCTCCAGGATACAAGATTCAAAGACTGTGTCCTGAATAAAAAGCCAATTAAGAGATAAAGGACACTTTGCATACGTCTAAGAGATCAGTCTTGTTCTTTGTGTGTTGATTTCAAGAGATAAAATACAGTAAACTAGCTGGTAACGTGTGTGTGTGTGTGGGTGTGTGTGTGTGTGTGTGGGTGGGTGAGGGGGGGGTCTCTATTCGTACGCTTTTTCGTAAAATAAACTTTATCTAATTGTTACTACTCGTTATAAATTGCGAAGTGATTCGATTTAGTAAAATGTGTTTTGTTGTGGATTAATGGTTGGACAATGAATATGGGAGCTATACAATGAACGAATACAGCATGCGAAATGATTTAAAACTTATACGCGCGCGTGTGTTTAAAAAAAAACACCCCAAAATAGGTTTGGGATTAAATCAATTACCAAAAGCACATCTTCTGTCAGAATCGCATTGGGGGAAAAAAAACATCCCGCACAGTTATATTGCCTCTCAACTTTGTTACATACCGGACAAATGGATAAATTCATAAACCATCGAAACTTGAGAATCATTTTAAAATTCGACCAAGTAACATTTCGAGATTTCAATATGTTTCATCCTATTGTAATCCCGCTACTAAAGGGGAAGGAAGCGGAATTAACTAAAATGTCGCTCCTTTTGGATGGGAGGGAGACAATAAATTCACTGCGTAACCTCTACCTTGTTGTCATGTGGGATAATTGCAAAGATATATAGGGTGGATTAACTTTGTAGACTTAAGTTCACAGTTAAAAGGGTGGCTTGACAAGTGCCTGACAAAACAATTGCTAATGGGAACAGAACGGAGCCGTTTAATTAGCCATTTCATTTACTGGTCCTGGCTTTTTCACCTTTGCAAGATAACAAACTAAACACGTATTTTTTAAAATATATATCATATATATATATATGTGTGTATATAACCGTTGCCAATTCACATATCGCTCCTATCTCGACACTTAATGTGAATAAATAAAGCATTAGTTTTCGAGAACTCTTAAATTTTAAGATCAAAATTCAGCAACAGTGCATAGTGTTGGCAGGGTGCATTTAATAAGTAATTAACAGCTTAAATATTTAGCATGTTGTTATGGCTTATGCGTTGCTCTTTGCTGGGTTGGATGTCTAAGCAAAAATGTCTTTCGTCTTGGGGATGGGGTAGAGATTCTGGCATTGAAAACACCCTTTATTAAACTGCTGTTCAAATCTAAAACAGGCCACAGTAAACACCGACTGTGTAAAGTGTCTTAACCCGCGCATTTGATTGCGAGCGATAGCACAACTATAACTTATATATATATATATATTGAATTAAAATTTCAATGGGGGAAAGTATGGCATTTTAATGTTTAGTGATTTTCACATTTAGTTTTCGCACTCGCAATCAAAATTAAAAACTGGATAACGCAAACAAAATTCGGCAGATAGTGTCCAAATGACCTGGTAACTTGATCTTGTGTAGCCGAGAGAATATGCTTTCAATATAATTTCGATGTGAAATACACAGGTCTTTTTATATGTTGATATCAGAATCATCACTGTCCGCTTGTGTGTGTGTGTAAACATAGACCCAGAATATTAAATGACGATTTAAATAATCTTAATACGAATATACAAAATTCCCCGATGCACGACTTCACGTATCAAAATCCATCCACCCATCACCTTCTCGCACTTACAGAGAGTCGGTGGCGCTCGGCGAGAATGTTCCCTTTGGGTCTTTTTGTTTTTGGATCAACTACAGTCGTTGTAAAGGGAATAAAATAATTATTTTTTAAAAAAAAAATGCGTTCCTTTTGCAGGAACGTATGCACCCGGCTTCACATGGTGCTGTTCAAATGTATTTCAGTTGCAAAAAAAAAACACACGAAAGACAGGTTCCCATGTGTGTACCCAATTGCCAGAGCGAGAGAGTGCTTTAGAAGTAACTGGGGGCCGTTTGCGATAGTTTCGCATTTCTTTAGTAATATCTTTTAACATCTCGAGCAGCGATGAAAAAGGGGCCAAGGTTGAGGGTTGTTTCGGTGCAAGCATTTGTTAAGCAGGTTGGGGTTTTAATGCAATCAAAATCCAGGGATGCGAGGATGCAAAAGGCGATGCATTAACATCGCCTAAGTTTTTACTCTCGTGTTGCTGCTAATTCGGGTGTTTGCGAAAGGAAGCGATGATTTGTGTGCCACGGGAGCTCAAGTCGTTTCCGAATCTGAGTTGGTTAATGAACCCCCCGATGTCACGTTTCTGTGACGTTTTTAAAAAAAAATCACAGCCAAACTGACTCTGAAAAAGGATGAGTTTCACTGGAAGATCGGAGCTGGCACATCGATGCACAACAACTTTGCGCGGTGCAGGGCAGACTCGCTCTTGGCCCCCAAACACTACAGTACGACAGCAATCACAGTCATTTTCGTTTTCGTTCTGGGAATTGTGAGTGTCATCTGTATTTTACGACCGAGAAACGTGGCGAATTTGCTCCCTTTTTTTTTTGCCCCTCCAAATGAAAAGTTTTTTTTACAGAAAAAAATTGAATTGCAATAAATAAATGATGAATGAATGAATGAATGAATGACTGAATAAACCCCGGGTATAGTATTAACAAACTGTACAATTTGACATTCTCTGTCAGTCATAAAGATACCTGTCTCCGTTTGTAATCTATTCAGGTTCAAACGTACATTCAAAAATTTCCCGAATTATTACCCAAACTAATGGGTTTTTACATTTTTTTTTAGAAGTATATATAGATATATTGATATTTAAAAAAAAACAATTACCTTTGGTGGTGGGGTTTCAGTAACCTACACAGGGGTTGATTAACTCAAAGGAGGCGACAGAGATCTTAAGGAACATTTGAGTATGTGTGTCACTCGCAAGTGGTTTGTCCACATGTAACAACTTATTAATGTTTTCGTCGATTATTAATCCAGTTTCCTTGAACCTCGGCTGTGTCTTTGAAAGGCGCTGATTGAAAGCTACCTACCTACACCCCCCCACAAGTCTGGTCTCTTGTAAATGTTTGGGATAATTAGACAAAACGCACGATTTTTTTTAATTGACACGCAGACGCCAATCATAGCTATCCCCCCCCCCCCAAGACGGTTTATTTAGTAATTAACATTACAATAGGGGCCGAGGTAAATGATTTCTAAATCGGTAAAAACGCGACACACGTTGTGCGATGATTAATTCCATCCCCCCCCCCCCCACCCACCACCACCCCTCTCCCCCCCACCACCCCTCTCCCCCCACCACCACCTTCCGACCCCGTTAGCGAAAGCTCGGGTTCATTCTCATAAGATATTCGGGAGTTAAATCCCACCCCCCCACAACCAAAAATAAATAAAATTGGGGATTTGTTTTTATCGAAAGAGGGAGCAAAATGCGACATTGGAAATCTAGCGAATCGGGATTTTTAACGGCACATGCAACGCTATTTAAAGAGTAGGTATTTTTGCTCTGTGTGTACAATTGTCAAGCTAAACAAACCCAGCATGTCGCTTGTAAATCGTCCAGGCTTTTATAAGTGACTGCTTTACAAATGTTAAAGTTAAATAGTTCTCAGCATTCATTGCCACTGCTTTGATATCAGCCAAGCGTGAGAAATTGTATATATATTGCTGCCCGATTACTTCAACTAAGAATTGGGGACATTCAAGAGTTCGCATCCGATCCCTCTCTCTTTCTCTCTCCCATACACACATGCACACACCTACACTTGGACACATATATACAGTCACACATCCACATATAGACACACACACCACACACAGACACACACACACATATAGACACATACACCTTGACATACACATGGACACATACACACATATACACACAGACACACATACATATAGACACACATACACATAGACACACACACACGCACACACACACTCAAGCTGCATATATACATTTAAACATATTACTTCAACACTTGGGGAGTTAGCCATTAGCACCGATAATGTTTTATATATATCAAAATCTGTTTATTTTACCGCTGTAATCTTTGCGAGATTGCAATTCCCCTGAAGCAGTTTTACAGTAAACAGATCAACTCTTTCGGGAGGGCTCCGAATTTACCTTTCTTTATGTATATATATATACATATATATAAATAGAACATTTATTTTTATATCTGGTCATATTTATATATATATATATACATATAACTCGCCCACTTTGGGTGGTGGGACG